AGAAGGCTGCAGCGGAAGAAAAAAAACAGGCAGAGCTGAAACATCAACAGGAATTGGTGAAACAGAAAGCAGAAGCAGAGGCCAAAAAGAAACACGAGGAAGAGTTGGCAAAGAAGAAACAAACAGAGGAGTTGGTTAAGAAAAAACACGAGGAAGAGTTTGCCAAAAAGAAACATGATGAAAAGAATGACCCAAAGAAACATGATGAAAAAAAAGACCCTAAGAAGCACGACGACAAAACTGATCCAAAGAAGCATGACGGCAAAACTGACCCAAAGAAACACGACGAAAAAAAGAGCCCAAAAAAGCACGACGACAAGAAAGATCCAAAGAAAAAAGACGATAAAAAGAACGAAAAAGGTAACCAGCAACAGGAACCCAATTTTCCCAGTCCTGATGTCCCAGATGTTCCACCAGGGCCTTCACCGGACACCCAACCAGACCCACNGCCCAAAAAAGCACGACGACAAGAAAGATCCAAAGAAAAAAGACGATAAAAAGAACGAAAAAGGTAACCAGCAACAGGAACCCAATTTTCCCAGTCCTGATGTCCCAGATGTTCCACCAGGGCCTTCACCGGACACCCAACCAGACCCACAATCTGACCCACACTCTGATCCTCAGCCTCAACCTACTCCCAGTCCTCAACCGGATCCAAACCCTGACACTTCCGGTCAAATTAGCCTTTCCTGTCCGCTGCTGCCCTTTGACCAGCGCAAACCAGGCGACCTGATGCTCTGGTTCGACGGTGAGACCATCGTTCAGGTGACCCTTGTCTCCTCCTCACCCGACAAAATGATGCACGCCTCGGAAGGTCGTGACAAGCTGATCGAGGAGGACATCGCCGTCATACCAAAGAACAAGGCCGGTGAAGAGCTGGTTCGAGCAGATCAGGTTGCTCGATGCTGATAAAAATAAATATTTTTATTTTGTTTTTAAATAATAAAAACTTGCACTGCTACTACGCTTTACTACACTCAAAGCTTTCCAACTTAGCCGATTCATATGAGACTTTCACTTTAGAAGAGTATGCTCCTAGCTCTACCTGTGCTGAGCAGTTATAAAGATTTTCCATCATTTGAAGTCCAACTTGTATGGTGAAGTAAAGACTGGCAGAGTAGTGGGTAATGTCAGTTGCTGGATTTAAATCGTTAACTGTGTACAAAGCAGCACCGTTCACCGAGACAATATCTGCTGGCGAGTATTCAGGCTTTTGTTCAACAATTTTTTGGCGAGCTTGCTTGACAAGAAAGTTAATCCGCGGGTCTTCTTGAGCTGATTTGGCCTCATAGCGCAGTACTGCACTATTGTTTTGCTCAATCAACGAACTGAACAGAAACAACAAAGTAAACGAGACAAAATGATTAATCATTTTGTTTTAGTGTTTGGTTGAAAAATGCTCCCATTTTCATACTGTTCGTTTTATATCCAATTAGTGGAATGTTAATTAGGTTTTTTCTAATTGACAAAAACTATAGAAATAATGGCATTGATGGGTGGTTCAAGGTTAAAACAATAAACATATTTTTGTTTAAACATATTTTTCAAGTTTTCAAAAATACTTGTTTTATGTTTGAAACTGGCATTTTTTACTTTAAATCTAGTAACTTTAAAACTTTCAATACTTTATTTTTAGTAAAAGGATATCGCCGGGACTAACCGTTGCCCATCTGGCCATTTTGAAATTGTATATGCACATTTTTTCCTCATAGTATCATTGCTGGCAGTGATCGCAAAGTCCGCTGACTTTTTATCAATTTCTCTCTCCTGTTACAAGTATTTATCTCTTTTCTCAGTTCACTCTCTCGTGTTTCCCTCCGAAAAACAGCTAAATGAGCCTGATAAAACAAGAGACACTGCTCTCTGCTCTGCTCTCTGTTGTCAAAAAGCTGCTGTGTAGAACTGCAACAGCAGATTTTCCAGTTAGCAACTCTTCAAAACTGCTTCAAACAGCAAGATGTCCAGCTACAACTCGGCCAAGTTTCAGAAGTTCCTCGACCAGTCGCAGTACACCGCCGCCGGCGTCAAGCGCTACGAGTGGATTTTCGGGCAGACCTTCCTCAGCCCGGGCGGCCTGAAGGTGGTGAAGGAGCTGATTCCAAAGCTGGGCCTGCAAAAAGGCCAAAAAGTGCTGGACATTGGCTCCGGCCTGGGTGGACATGACTTTTACATGGCAGAGACCTACGGGGTGACCATCGACGCCATTGACCTCAGCGAGAACATGATGAACCAGGCGGTGGCGTACTACGACGAGCGACCGGCCATTCAGGGGCTGATCAACTTTCGCCTAGCGGACATTTCAGTGATTGACCTGCCCGAGGCGAGCTATGATGTAATCTACAGTCGAGACACGTTGTTGCACATTCAGAACAAGCCGGAACTGTTCAAGAAGTTCATCAAGTGGCTGAAACCAGGCGGGCGGATTGTCTTTACCGACTACGCTAAAGGCGAGGGCCCCTACACGGATGAGTTTCTGGAGTACGTCCGGCAGCGAAACTATGAACTCTTCACAAGGGCTGACTACGAGACACTGCTGAAACAGGTAGGTTTCAAAGAAGTCCAAGTGACGGAGATCAAAGAGAAGTTCATCGAAACATTGCAAGGTGAGCTGAAGAAACTCTACGAGTGCAGGGAGGACTTTCTCGCCAAGTTCACCCTTGCCGACTTTCAGGCCATTCAAGAGGGCTGGCTGGCGAAGATCAAACGAGCCACTGATAACTGTCAAACGTGGGTGCTGGCCATTGGCCACAAAGAGGCGTAATTTAGAAAAATTTTTTTTGACTAATTTTTGTATTTTAAACTTTTGTTAATACTAAAAAATTGATTAAAATTAAAACGATTTCACAATGTCTAGCCCTAAAAAATTTTCATTTATAATTTAAAGGTTGCATTGTTTAGCTTTTCCTTCTAATCATGGCTCATAACTAATTTATATTAGTTGCAGTGAACTAGTAGCTGGAAATGTTGATCGGTTGTCAACAGTGCACTATTTGCTGGTAACTTAGATCATTTATTTCACCGTTAATTAATTTCTTATTTCAAACCAGAAAAATGATATTTCTACTAAATGCGTCAGAATTAGTGTTTGGTGCAATCAAATAATGATTTTTTCTTTTGGTAAATAGAAGTTTTGCTGACATTGAGCAAAGAGCTTTTAAAGAGATTAAAAGTTGAAAAAAAGTTACATTTATAAGTTTTTTTCAGGACTGGTGTGTTTGTTAATAAGTTCAATAAGTGTTCTAAAAAAATGTTTTTTGCTTAGACTAGCACAAACGGCTTTAGCTGAAAACAAACTGAATAAGTGAGTTGAAAATGTGTGTAATCGAGTTTGGGTATGTAAGTGTAGTGCAAATGTTTGAACAACTTCCATCTATATAGAGGAAAAAAGTATTTTTGTAATTTGACCAATCAAAAAGACAGAAAAAAGAGAAAGAAACAATTCTCGAGAATTTTGCACATAAGGTTTACTTGTTCACTCTGAGCTTCTGCCTAAGTTTTCTGGCATACCAGATATAACCGGTGTCAAAAGTAGAGCTTCTTAAGATAGCATTATACTTTTTTGTTGCACATTAATCGCACAGCTACAAACTTTCAGTGCAGTAATTGATTTTTCTGTTCACTTAGTCGTTTGTTGCTTTGTTTTGCCAAAAGAGAATTTGTTCACTTCACAATTGAGTCAGTCAAACTTTTTTTACGATAGGAAAAAGATTAAACGGGTGACATGCAATCGATCGTGAAGATGGAGCAAAA